CAGACTGACCCACCAGAGCAGAACCCACCAGAGCAGAACCCACCAGAGCAGAACCCAAGAAGCTTATGAACATCCTCGTCCCTCACACCAGCACCTCCAACATCAGCTGCGTTACATTATTAGTCATCAGTTCTGGAGGGACTCAAACCTACATCTCATCTGCTGACGCTGTAAAAACTAAAAGAAAGTCATTTACTTATTTTGGTGAAAGTCCAAAGAACTCTGCTTGTCCTTCATCTAATCTGGAATTAAACCCAGCCGCCGTCGTCTGCTCCGTCTCTCCTGAATTTACCAACGTTCTGTGACAAAAGGAACTACTTTTCCTAAAAACACTCCACCGCACTCCGGTTTAGTTTGGCAACTGGAAGTTCAAGAGATTAGTTCTAAATATCTAAATCAAATTCCTGAAACATTAATGACGATTGGACGTTAAGACAAAAAGTATAAGTTCAGTAAAAATAATGTTTTAGAGGCACTGAATATTTTAAAAGTAATAATTTTAATGAAATAATGCAGCTGTGTGATAATATTTCCTGGTAAACAAAACCAGATTCATGGAAAAAAACTGATCAGTGGACAAATGGAACACTTTTGAATATTTTAACAAACAAAAGTCTTAAAAGATTTATAAAAACATGTAGGAGTGAGGTCATTGTGGTTGTACTGGAGTTTCACCGTTGGACATTTTACTCCATTTTTCTAAATTCTTTTGGCTTTTTCCTCTTCAGGGTCTCCACAGACAGTTGTCCTCTCTGTCCTCTGTGTCCTCTGTGTCCTCTCTGTCCTCTGGCCTCTCTGTCCTCTGTGTCCTCTCTGTCCTCTCGGTTCTGTGTCCTCTCTGTCCTCTGTGTCCTCTCTGTCCTCTGTGTCCGCTCTGTCCTCTGTGTCCGCTCTGTCCTCTCCGTCGTCTGTGTCCTCTGTGTCCTCTCTGTCGCCTCTGTCCTCTGTGTCCTCTCTGTCGTCTGTGTCGTCTGTGTCCTCTCTGTTCTGTGTCCTCTCTGTCCTCTGTGTCCTCTCTGTCCTTTCTGTCCTCTGTGTCCTCTCTGTTCTGTGTCCTCTCTGTTCTGTGTCCTCTCTGTCCTCTGTGTCCTCTCTGTCCTTTCTGTCCTCTGTGTCGTCTGTGTCTTCTCTGTCCTCTCCGTCTTCTCTGTCCTCTGTGTCCTCTCTGTCCTCTGTGTCCTCTCTGTCCTCTCTGTTCTCTGTGTCCTCTCTGTGTCCTCTCTGTCCTCTGTGTCATCTCTGTTCTGTGTCCTCTGTGTCGTCTGTGTCTTCTCTGTCCTCTCCGTCTTCTCTGTCCTCTGTGTCCGCTCTGTCCTCTGTGTCCTCTCTGTTCTCTGTGTCCTCTCTGTTCTCCCTGTTCTCTGTGTCCTCTCTGTTCTCTCTGTCCTCTCTGTCCTCTCTGTTCTCTGTGTCCTCTCTGTTCTCTCTGTTCTCTGTGTCCTCTCTGTTCTCTGTGTCCTCTCTGTCCTCTGTGTCCTCTGACTGCATCCATACATCATCTGCAACAACGTTCCCTGTTCTTATTTTTGGTCCTTGTGTTTTTGCGTCTCGTGCGTTTGTCTCGATCGTCTGTCTTCAGCTGTAAAGTCTGTTTGCTACATTTGTTTGAATGAACGGTTGTGTTCATGAAACATTATTCATCCCTTCACACGTGTCAACGGTAACAAGTCAAACTGGTTTTGTCCCTCGGCAGGAGTTCAACACAGCCGGCTCCAGTAACATGGATACTGGGAAGGCTTCTGGGAACCTGGAGACCAAGTACAAGATGAAGGAACTGGGCCTGAGCGTCGGTCAGAAGTGGAACACCGACAACACGCTGACCACCGAGGTCACAGTGGAGGACCAGGTGTGTGTCTGCCGCTTGGATTCACTGTGAAACGTGTCCTGGCTTTAAACGACCGTCTGGGTTTTCCCGCAGCTCGCTCATGGACTCAAGGTTGGACTGGATACATCTTTTGTTCCCAACACAGGGTGAGTGTTTGTGCTGTGGTTACACGCGCAGTGTTCACGTCACGCTGTGATCCCAGTTCTGAGAGCTGTATCTGTATTATGATCATTTCACTGGTTATGTAAATAACTGGTTTAACTGGTGTGTTTCTTGTCTAACCAAGAGTTCACAGGAGCAAGAATCCACTAGCGTTAGCACAGATGCTAACTTAGCTTTTCTACAGCATTTGTAGACGTACCTGATGTTGTGATGTCGTGTTTATGGGGACATGTACACATGAGACGTTTCAAGCTCGTCACTGTGGGGGGGGGGGGGGGGGTCTAACTTCCTGTCCGTTCACATGAAGACGATGACATTAAGTCAACTATGGTGTCTCTCGGCTTCAGTGAACTGTTAAGGTGCGAACACGTTCAGATCTTCGTGGGGGGTACGTGCAGCCCCCCTCGTCGTGGTAAATGGGGGTACGTGCAGCCCCCCTCGTCGTGGTAAAGACAACGCAGATATCTGCTGGTTGTATCTGGCACACGGTTGTGACGTGCTGAGAGTTTCAGCTGCATCAACTTTGCTCCGCAGGAAGAAAAGTGGCAAACTGAAAACAGGCTACAGGCGGGACTACGTGAACCTGGGCTGCGACGTGGACTTCGAGGGACCCATCATCCACACCGCTGCTGTACTGGGCTACGAAGGCTGGCTGGCTGGCTACCAGATGGCCTTCGACACCGCCAAGTCCAAACTGGCCCAGAACAACTTTGCCCTGGGCTACAGGACCGGAGACTTCCAGCTGCACACCAACGTGTGAGTGCCTCCCCGGACTCGTTGCTGCAGCTCCAGCGGTTCAAGCCTCGACTCTGATTCAGCGTCTGCTCTACTTTCAGTAACGATGGAACAGAGTTTGGTGGCTCCATCTACCAAAAGGTGAATGACGAGCTGGAGACCGCGGTCACTCTGGCCTGGACCGCCGGCAGCAACAACACCCGCTTCGGCATCGCCGCCAAATACAAGCTGGACAAAGACTCGTCCCTGTCGGTGAGTGCTGCGCCTCGTCTTCTCCTGCGTCTCAAACCGTTGTTGGTTTCACATCTCGGCACGTTTCCTCCTCAGGCCAAAGTGAACAACGCCAGTTTAATAGGAGTAGGCTACACCCAGTGCCTCCGACCAGGTAGGCCACAAGTGTTCTGACCAAGCCAGTTTGATTACAGACGGACATTTGATCCGTTTTCTTGTTTGAACGTGAGGCTGAAACCTCAAACAATGAACAGTAAATAAGAAAAGTGTCTTTGTCCAGAGGAAGTTCTTGTAGAAAGCACGACCTCCTGACGTCTTGCTGCTCTACAAAACTTCAGTTCATTTATAAAGCAGCAGTTCACGACATGAATCATGTGCTGGTCCTGAGAACTCTTGGAAATAAACTGAATTCAATTGGAATTGCAACAGTCCCATCAAAATCTCTTCAGGTCCATCTCCAGGACTTTGGACCATTGGACGTCTTTGTTCCTTCTTTATGTCCAAACGTCTGCAGCTCCTTCAGGCTGGACAGTGCTGCTTGTGTCCTCTGTGTCCTCTCTGTCCTCTGTGTCCTCTAACTGCTTGTGTCTTTTAGTTGGACTGAGGTCTGGGCTTTGACTGGACTGGTCCAAGAACTGGTTCTCTTTAAACCAGCGGAGCGTTCAGGGACTTGTCCTGCTGGAAGGTGGACCTCCATCCTGGCCTCAGATCATGTTACTCAGTGTTCTCCATCTTTCTTTAACTCTGACCAGTTTGAAATCCCACAGCAGGATGCTGCCACCACCGTGCCGACTGCAGGACCAGTGTTTTTATTGAATCCATGAAGCCCGTCTGTGCTTCAGGGTTCTGTTCAGACCACAAGATGTTTGATTCATGCTGCGCTCCTTTCACACTCTGGGTTTTGGTGGACTAGCCTCTCTTGGCAGGTGTCGTCCATTTATTATTAATAATATTAATGATAATAATTCCTTAATGGAGAAATTCGTTCTCTGCATTTCCCCCAGCACATGGTGGAGCAGCGGGCTGCCAGCTGAGGCGCTCTGGGAGCAGCTGGATGGTTAAGGGTCCACAGTGGGCAGATGAGAGTGGAGGTACCCAGTGATGGATCTGCTGGAGCTCCATGGGATGTTCTTACAATTCAAGCCTAATCTGTGCAGAAAGTTCCTGGGTCATCACGAGGTCTCTTGCTCGTTATTTCTGGGGTTTGATCAGTTGGATTTACCCTGAGATTAAATGGGATCAATCAGAGGATGCTGGTTCAATTCTGAGTTACGTACTTTAAAACAGGCGTCTAGAAAACGGCGCTCCACTAACGTTGAGTAATTTTATTTACCTCTGAGAGAGCGAACTGCTAAAGCGCTCATTCCTCTTAACAGATGAGAACCTGTACATCTAGACCGTTTCCTGGACGCTGTTCTTGTCTCGGCAGGTGTCAAGGTAACTCTCTCAGCCCTCATTGACGGGAAGAACTTCAACGCCGGTGGACACAAAGTGGGTCTGGGCTTCGAGCTGGAGGCGTAAGGAGGAGCCTCCGTCGTCAGCGCCACCTTCATGCAGCTCCGTCTCTCTGGACTCTTCGCCTCCACCAGTCGCACTCCTGACAAGAATTGTCGAGTCTGAATGTTGAGGTGGAGCTGGAAGTGGCGTGCGTCGATGACCGGTCTATTTATTTCCCTGTAGGTCTTGAACGATGTCGTTAGTGTTTGTGTAGCTCATCACAGCTGTTGTACCTTGAAGCATGTGAGAATGACGATGGAGGCGGAGCTTAAAGCCTTTTCCGTTAGTTCAAAAGGTGCATAGTGTTCGTTTTTACCTCAGTTTGACACTTTCACATTTAGACCATCAGCGTTTACTGGAGGAGACCAGAGTCCTGCTCCGGAGAAATCAACGTGGTGGGATCTTCTGCTGACGCTTGTGGTTAGTTTGCATTTCTCATCTCGGATCAGGACTTTACATCTAGTGGCCTCTGTCTCCGGAGGACAGTTCCTGACGTCTCAGATCTGTGTCCATATTGTCCCGGAGCGGGTCCAGTCCAACGCTGGATGACACCACTTAGTTCCTACATCAGTGTTTTTCACCTCATCATGTTTTTAGAGTAATAAAAGTTCGTTTTTGTTTATCATGTAGACACGTACCTCTTTTTTTCAAATGTGCACAAAGAATTCCAAAAATAAAAAATAGGAAATAAAGTCTTAAGAATGTTTTGTTTATTCAGTGTCATTTTTTTTTCCTTTTAAAAACAAGTCAGTTTTGGGATGACGTGTTCTAAAGTACAGGCGTGTGCACGAGACTCAAAAACATTTAGATGTTCTCCAACAGGGGGCGCTGTTGTTCAGGTGTTTCTAACGAGGCTCCATTATTGGTAGAACAAATAAAAATACAGAATTCTCCAAAATGCTGACGGGTTTTAAAGTTTCTGGGACCAATGAGACAAAACAGTCACAGTAGTTTTTGTTTTTCATTGTGTTAGCATACCAAAAACTGTATCTGCATCTTTAACACTTGTTTGTACTGACGCCTCAGTATTAGTACATGAAAAGAGTATTAGTACATGAAAAGAGTATTAGTACATGAACAGGAAGTCCTCACATGTAACTCAAATCCAACCAGTCACATAAAAAATGTTTTGGATATTTTGAACCACCTTGTGTTTCTGTTGGCATCAGGTTAAGAAAACCTTTACAGACTCCGTCTTCAAGACACTTGTGGAGGACACACTTCCACGTCCTGAGGACTGGAAGAACAAGGTCCACGTGGATCCAGGCTGGTCTGGCTCAGTCCAGTGCTTTCATGTAATAAATCTCAGTGAAAGCAAACAACAGATATTTAAATGAAGCAAATCCAAAGGTCCTTCAGGCCCACGACCGGTCTAGAGGTCACATGGTTTGTCCCAATGTGGACACCGTGTCCAGCCTGAGAACGTCCTCAGGACTCTCCAGTCATGATGGCCAGGAACTCCTCTTGGTTTACTGAAAATCAGCACAAACACAGACACATCCTCAGATGGTTCCTGCAGAACTAAAGTCCTGGGATCAATAAAAACGAAAACTGATCATCATGTTGACCAACATGAGCAGGGACCATCAGGGTTCCTGCTCATGTTGACCAACATGAGCAGGAACCCTGATGGTCCCTGCTCATTGGAGCCCGACCGATGTTTCAGGTCCATACAGATGTTGGGGACCTGTCGGTATCGCTGATAACTGCCCCATTGTTCACTTCTAATGTTCGCCCCAAAATTCATTCAACCTTTATTTCTACAGGTTGGTCTCGTTGAACCCCGAGGACTCGTTTACAAGACGGACCTGATTTAATAAAGAACACAAGAGGAACAAACAATAAAAGACGGTCATATAACATGAAAAGTAAATAGAAGAAATTAAAAACAGCTAAATTACAAAGTGATGTAAAATACTAAAAACAGGAAGATGTCTTGCTGGAACCAGCTGTAATGGTAGAAGGTGTCCAGCAGAGGGCGCATGAGGACTACTTTAGTTCACAAAGTTCAAGCAGGTTGTCGTTTCACCACGTGGTACATGAGGTGGAACTAAATTGTGTACACAGGGTCCCAGTTGCACCCAACAATATCAAAAATATAAAGTATGTATAATTATACATTGAACCTTTGGCACAAGGTGTGCAGAAGTGAGGTGGTGAGGAGTGAATATTAACTGAAGAGAACGTGTCATGATGACATAAAACATCTGGATAACCCAAATCAAAATATTAATACTTTGGTTGCTCTGGTGAATTCTCTCAACACTCGGATTATAAAATTAATGTTACCAAGACTCACGTGCTGACATTTAATTATATCCATCAGAAGAGATCAGAACCAAACTGAAGGTAAACTGGATCTTGGAGTAATAAAAACTAAAAAACAAGTAGAATCTATAAGAATAAATATGACACCATTAACATCCCCACATGACACACACTATAGTATGACTTCCAAACTGGTTTAAAATGAAACATGCTACAGTATGACTTCCAAACTGGTTTAAAATGAAACATGCTACAGTATGACTTCCAAACTGGTGGAAAATGACACATCCTATAGTATGACTTCCAAACTGGTAGAAAATGACACATGCTATAGTATGACTTCCAAACTGGTTTAAAATGAAACATGCTACAGTATGACTTCCAAACTGGTGTAAAATGACACATCCTATAGTATGACTTCCAAACTGGTGGAATATGACACATGCTATAGTATGACTTCCAAACTGGT